CATCTTAGTGATCACCCAGATCACCAGATCTCTCACCAAAGGCACCTGCTGGATAACTACAATGTTCACTTTTTGCTTTACTTTGGTTCTTAAAGACGGGGTCTCTCTTTGCAGACCAGTCCTTGAGTTCCTGATTCTCCAGCTTTAACCCCCTGCGCTTTGGAGTGACAGGTATGCTCCACCACATCAGGCTCTTTATTTCACTGGATTAGAGTTAGTAGATAAGTCCCAGCAGACTAAGAGATGTTTCCTGCCTCTGGGGGTGTTCACATGCTCTACTGAGAGGACCCTCAAGAAAGCCACGGCTTGTGAACTAGTTCACAGATGGAAGTCACTAGAGAAACAGCTCGTGTGAGAAAACCTGACCCACTAAAGTTCACTAGATTCTTCACACTAAATTCTTAACTTATTAGCCCCCAAAGAAAACTCACAAATATTTACCTGCTGAGGATAACCCCTTCTCCCCACCCCAACACAGATAACTTCACTGTAGGTCACAGAGAGATACTGTCTTCTATCACTGCCCGAGAGGACATTAACTGGCACAAGGAGGCGCTGTGCGCTCTCCACCTGCGTCCTCCGGCAAGCATCCTTTCCCAAGATGTGGAAACCGTTCACAGTTCTTGCTGGGCATCCTCCAAGAGTCAAAAATCAATGCTGTTGCTGGCCTGCTTGGCCCAAATCCAAGCCACTGGCACTGGAGGAAGAGGCCTGGAGAGCAATGAGGATTCTGTACTCTTGGGCAGTCCGTGAGTGTGTAGAAGGGAGGGTTAGATGGCTGGAGGGAGTCCATGATCCCAGGCTACAGCCGGAGGGTAGGTGGTAGCTCTTTGTGGTACCTGCTGTGCTGTGAAGCCCAATATCATACTTGGAGACCTATATTCAAGACACTTGTTTTTGTTTTCTTTTTTTTTTTTTTTTTTTTTTTTCTCCTCACTGTAGGCTTCTCTCATCCCTGCCCGCTGAGCTCTTTGCTAACAGAGAACTATCATATTCTGATACGATTAGGTGGCTGGACCTGCATAGGAGAGCGTCACGGGGTGCCAAGCTAGGAGTTCAATCCCAAGTCAGCTTTAGGGCGTTAACTCCATGATATCACTCATCCTCGGCTCTCAGGTTTGGACCTTTTCCTTCCTCCCTGAGACCAGGCCTCCTCTCCACCTGTGTTCAGTCTGTTTTGGCCTCTTCTGTATGTTCTGATAATCTGGCAATTTACAGCCTGTCTGCTTGCACAGTGGGGTTGGTACTTCACTGAGGAAGTGAGGCGAGTAGCGGCAAGGGTGAAGGTGCCATTTGAGAGAGCTTTGCAATCAGAGAGCCACTGTTCATCCTCACTGCATGATTATCAACAGATGGCTTAAGTGGATCTTTAATTCTCTGACTTAATACCTGAGAACAGCAGACAAGTTTCAAGGGGGCTGTGGTGCTGGAAGAGGAGAATGTAGGAAGTTGCCTGGTGTGGAGTTAGCTGAGGGCCTTTCAGCACAGGGTTTATTATCGACCCTCGTAGACCACGCCCCCTGCTTGGCCTTCTGACAGCACTGAGACTGCTTTCAGCTAGAGAACGGCTCTGAGCATCACTGTAGTAGAGACATCTCTCCCTTTGGGTAAAAGATGCTGTAAGTTTTTAACTACGCATGGCTGGCCAAATGGAAACTACATTTCCCAACCTCCTTAGCACATAGCTGTTACCATGGTCCTTGGATCTGGTCACTGGGGATAGATAGTACTGTGGCTTGTGACTTCTGAGGAAGGATGCTCATCTTCCTTCCTGTCACTTTCCTAAAGGCTGAGGTGAGACACCATGGTTGGAGCCCACCTGTCTCTTTCAACTATGAAGTGGCAAGAAAAGGGCAGAGGTAGGACATGAAGGTATTGGAATCTTAGGTACTTGACATCTTTCAGTTTTCTTTCCTTTCTAGACAATCTCATTCTGACTATTATAGTCTACTTGAACAAGGCTCCTCTCTGGTAGTTACTGGACAGTCACTGGAGGCCTTCAGGGCCCTCCAGCAGAAGACCCTGTTGCTGCCACATCCCAGAAGCTGGACAAGTGTGTCTCCGATGGCTTCCAAGGAGCTTGTGAGCATCTTAATTCTGAAGGGTTGCTTAACTCTCCGGAGGAGAGTGAAGGAAACCAAGTCCACGAAGAACCAATTGCACTGAAGTTATTCTGTGACATGAGCCTGTGTCTGTATTATCTACCAGAGCATGCACTTTGCCTCATAGAATGAGTAAATAAGGGAGAAGATAGGCTAGGGAGCGCACTGAGTGATTGCACCAGTCTCGTTGAGCTGGTCTTGCGCTTATCTGCCTGGTAGCAGTCTCGTGAAAGCAACTCTTTGCTTGTGCTTGCCACAGCGTGTGAGTCTAGACCATCACTACATCAAAGAGTGGGGTCGAAGCATTTTCAGGATGGCCTCACTGGAAGTGTGGCCCGCAGACCAACTGCTGGTTCTCACTGTACCGACTGTTCCCGCTCTGCAAAGATGAGGAGGCTTCCGCTGAATGAAGGTCATCACTGAGCGGGTTGTCTCTTCCAGCTGACATGGGTGCATGCGTGTGTATGTGCAAGCTTATGCAGGGGCACGTGTGTGCAAGCACATGTGGAGATCAGAGGAGTTACTCCTAGGCACTGTCTAATTCATTATTGAGATGGTGCCTCTCCTTGGTTGGACCTTGGCTGGTAGAACTTGACCAGTCAGCCAGGCTGTCCACCAGCCAGCGAGCCTCAGCTGGGCTCTGGTGACCAAACTCAGGTCCCTGTGATTGCAAGGAAACACCTTCATAGACCACACTGTCTCCCCAGTCCCCTACATTTTCTTTTCACAGCAGGACTTTCTCAGTGAAGGGAAACAGCAGAGTGATATGCCTGGATAGGGGCTCTCTGCATGGTTTCAGACAGCGCTTTGAATGACACTGCTGTAGAAAGTGAATGCACTGTTAGAGAGCATGATTGTGGGGGTTTGAAGAGGGAAGGCTCCCATAGACTCAGGTGTTTGAAGGCTTGGCCCATAGGAAGAGTTACTATTAGGAGGTTTGGCCTTGTTGGAGAGAGTGTGTCACTGTGGAGGAGGGCTTAGAGGTCTTATAAACTCAAATCTGGCCGGGGTGACACAGTCTCCTTCTGCTGCCTGTGGGCCAAGATGCAGAACTCTCAGCTCTTTCTCCAGCAGGGGTCTGCCTGGGTATTGCCATACTTTCCACTATGATGATAACAGACTAAACCTCTGAAAGCGTAAGCCAGCCCCAACTTAACATTTTTCTTTATAAGATTTGCTGTGGGCGTTGTGTCTCTTCACAGGAAAAACAAAACAAAACAAAAAAAGTAACTAAGACAGAAGTTGGTACCAGAAGTGGGGTATTGATATGATAGACCTGACCACGCTTTTGTTTGGAGAAACGTATATTTTTAGAATTTAGATTAGAAAAGCAGTTGAATGCTTTAAGCAAGGATCAATGGGTCATATTAGTAAGAACATGGAAGATAGTGGTGCTGAGGGTGATCTGAACTGTGGGAGCCTGACTCAAGAGGTTTCAGAGGAGAAGAATGTTAGTATGTGGCCTAGAGACTGTTCTTGTGATTTTTTTTCAAAGATATATTTATTTATTTTACATATGTGAATGCTCTATCCGCATGCATACCTGCATGCTAAAAGAGGGCATCAGATCCCAGTACAGATGGGTGGGATCTACCATGTGGTTGTTAGGAATTTAACTCAGGACCTCTGGAAGAGCAGATAGCTCTTAATTGCTGAGCCATCTCTCCAGCTCCCTCTCCCCCTTTTCTCTTGTGATATTTTGGCAAAGAATGTAGCTGCTTTTTGCCCTTGTCTGAAAGGTCTGCCTGAAGCTAAAGTGAAGAGTTAGGGATTAATTCCTTTGCCGGAGGAAATTTCCAAACAGCCTAGCATTGGCTCTGTTGTGTGGTTGTTAGCATTTACTCTTATGAAGAGCTATAATAAAAAGGAGAAAGCTGAGCAAGGAAAAATGCAAAATGTAACGCAAAATGTAGGAGAAAGGGGGCACCAAGAAGTTCAATAGAAGAGCTAAGTCCTGTGTTCAAGAAGGTAAAAAGATCAATGAAAAGCTGGATATTAAATGTAAAAAGTTGCCATGGTCATGGGGTCTCTTCACAGCAGTAGAAACCCTAAGACAATGCTAAACTATGTACTTTTAGAAGTATACCAAATCTGTCAGTCTGTCCATCTGTCTATTCATCCATCCACTCACTTTGTCCTATCCCAAAGAAATAAAATCAGAATCTCTGAATGTTCAGTCCACATATTGGTATGGTAAAGCAGTGAGGCTGATTCTGAGAAGGGCCCCGGTGGAGAAGCAGCTTTAGGATACGACAGGAGAACGGAGACTACACAGTTCCCTTTTCAAAATCAAAGCAACCTGAACTTCCATTTGTACTTGTTTTAAACGTAAGCTGACCTTGCTGGAAACAACCCAGTTAACAGAGCCTTCCCTGGATTCTGCCATCTATGATGTTCTGATTTCATGGAAGTTGGCATTACCTTGGAAAGATTTAAACCTGGAGACTTTTTTGTGGTAGTTTGTTTTGAGACAGAGTTTTATACAGCCAAAGGTGGCTCAAACTTGCTAGGTATGGAAGGATGACCTTGAACTTCTGATTTTCCTGTCCCCACTTCTGGAATGCGAAATGTATAAGCATGTGACATTTCATTCAGTTTATAGGGCACTGGGATTAGTCCCACAGTTCCGTGCTTGATAGGGAGCACCCCTATCCATTTAGCTATATTCTCCAGCCCCAAACCTGAAGACATATAATAGTAGTCTTCCTTTCAGCTTTGGTTCATACTATACTTTTACTTAAGTGTTCAAGCCTGACTGAACTTATTCACTCATGAGAACACAGCTTCTCCAAAGCCAATATAAAAGCATTCACTCATGACAGAACCCCCGGCTCCATGGCTGTTACCACCAGACTATTCACAGGACTAGGCCACCAGTTCTACAATAGTGTCGCTTACCGGCAGTTCCTAGGCTCAGCAGCACAGCCACCCAGAGGACCCAGAAGAAAATGAGGATGACAAATGTCCACAGTGGTTGGAACAGCAGGAAAGGACAGCGGCTGATGGCTTTATTTGTGACTTGGAGAAGCTCAACTGTCAGTTTCATCCTCTTTCTGAGGGTAAAAATCAAGATGAGGAGAACGGCCTGGTGAGAAAGAGGTCAGAGTGAAACCACTGCAAAGCGGTGAGGAACTGTGAGGGGCTGAAAACAAACTTTGTAGCTGCTGTCTCAGTAATCAGCTCTCTCTGAAGATACTACGTCTATTATAACGGAACAGATAAATTCTCAAGCACTAACAGAGACCCTCTGTACAGGTCCCTGTGTGAGATCCCACAGTCATAACAGTGAACAAGGCTTGATGCCTTCTTAATAAATCCGGTCAGAGTGGGAGAAGGTGAGAAGAAGGTTCTTTAGGGTCAAAGGGAAATCTTCTATTTCCCCTCCTCCATGCCACACACTCAGAGATGGGCTGCAAATAGGCGAGAGACAATGAGTACATCTCAAAGCTACTTGCTATACCATCTTGACTGGGTCACCCTCTCTGCATAGAAATAGTTGTAAGTCTCCAGATTAAGGAAACCACCGTCCTTCACCCACAAATCATCCAGTCTTCTCTACCTTTCTCTTCAAGGATAAACATCTTGCTTTGTCTCTGTCACCCCAGGGCCCCCATTTCTATCCCCTAACTATCTCTTTATCCACCACAAATTCCTTCCCAGCGTTCTCCCAAAACAGTTCTCCCTAAGGTGGCATCCTGTGACTTCTGGAAAGTGAACTCTTCAGGAATATCCAAGTTGATTTTGGTTGGAATTGGAAGTGCTTATCTTACTGTCAAGACTGTGGTGACGATGGCAAAGGCCAGCATGCACTTCATATTCTCCCTTTCTGTGTCCAATTCTGTGCTGAGGTCGTTGGTGTAGTCATAATACAGCCACCATAAGACACCGCAGACAACTAGAACACAAAGCAAAAGCAGACTTTCCATGTGTCCTGATATTACCCACCTCTCTTCTACACACACACACACACACACACACACACACACACACACACACACACTCACACAAAGTTAGGCCACTTGTGGCTGACCCAGTGACCCTGTTCTAACAGAGAATCCTAAACCCCTAGAAACTCTGTAACCCATCACTTATCTCTGGGTGATCCACGCAAAGCCAGGTTAGCCTGTAGGGAACCTGTCAGTCCTGGGGTAGCTTTCTGTCTCTGGCAGACACAGGGACCTAGCTACAGGATGAGTCTGAGCGTGATCAGGAAGGAATGGTGACAGAGAGCATGGTGAGAGGAACAGTCTAAAGTGTTTACACAAGGTCTGCTGCTGACAGTTCTGGGGGTGGGGATGCTGGCTTCTTATCCACAGAAGTGGGTGATTTACACAGCCCATGGGAATCATGTTATCAGAGTTCAACTGTGAAGAGACCCTGACACTGCAAATACTCTGCATTTGGAAAAAAACATGACCTCAAACCTCACTGTTGTAACTCTAAGGAGGCCAGAGCTGCCTCCTGGTAAATGGGGAGACAGTTAGCTTCCAGCAGTTGAAATGAACATTCTCCAATACAGAGCTTATTATGATTTGGAATGGAAATGCCCCCTAAAAACTCATGTGTTGAAGGCTAGATCACCAGATGGTTGGCATTACTGGGAGGCAGAAGAAAATTTAGGAGGTAGGATCTACTTGAAGGAAGTAGGTTATTGGAGATGTACTTTTGGGAGGAACATGAAGACCCTAACTCTCTGCTTCTTAGTGGCCATGAGGTAAAAGTAATCATGGTTATCACATGCTTCCACCATGAGAATACTACTAAAGGCTCAGAAACAAGGGAGCCCAGGGGCTACGGATTGAAATCTCTGAAACTGTGAGCCCAAACATTTTTCTTTGGGTTGATTTGTTCAAGTATTTTGTCACAGAGCTGGAAAGGTGACTGATACAGGAATCCAGGGCTCGCGGGGGGGGGGGGCTGCCTGAAAGCAGAACTAAATATTCAAAGGGATAACAAAATTGCAGTCATATTGGACATTCAGAATTTAAAGTGCCCTATGCCACTTAAAGAACAGGACTTGTATCTCTTAGATGCCCTTTCCACAAAACTCCTGGGGATATTCACAGTCCATTGACTGGTAACGAAAGAGGGGTGCACACAGGGCTACACAGATCCCCTGGTCTGTGATCCTTCTGTGGCTTGCTCTTCAGACCGACCGGAACCTTTGTGTGACAACTATGGGTTCTCACAGGCTCAAGGGGTAAGTGCATTGCAGGATAAATCCTTCAAAATGAAAGGAAAAAAGATTGAATCCATTGGTTTTTTTTTTTTTGTTTGTTTGTTTGGTTTTGTTTTTTTGTTTGTTTGTTTTGAGACAAGGTCTCTCTATGTAGCCCTGGCTGTCCTAGAACTTGTTAGGTAGACCAGGCTGGCTTTGAACTCACAGATATTCATCCACCTGCCTCTGCCTCCCAATTGGTGGGGCTAAAGGTGTGCGTCAACATGGCCAGCCGGAATTCATCCTTACGATGCATATGAGTACCAGTAAAATGTATTTTTGTTTGTTTGCAGTGCTGGGGATTGAATATAGGGCCATGTCCACGCTTGCCAAGACGCTTGCACTGAGTAACATCTTCAGGCCAGGACCTCCCAGTCGGTAGACCAGGAGCTACACAGTGGGATAGGATCAAGCAGAGACCCCATTCACTTTTTCCAGGAGGCAGAAGCAACTCCCATTGTCCTTCCTGGGCCTGGTTTTCCTCACGTGTGAAATGATGGAGCTAAATCGCACCCCCTTCTTAGACTCCAGTTAGTTAAAAAAACTAAACAGACAACCCAACCTTTAAATTCTGTACTTACTGGAGAGATGTTCCATTTACCCAGAGTGGAAATACTTACACAGCAATCCCAAAACGACCAGTGAAACGATAATGTGGACCAGAAGCGTTGAGATGAATCGGAAGATGAACAGCATAGCCAGAGACAAGGCTGAAAAGGTAAGCACGGCACATTAAGGGCAAAAAGGGTGGGAGGGCAGGGGAGGGGAGAGGAAGTTGGGAGAACATAAAGCTAGGATGATCAAGCCCAGAACAGCGAGGGCTAACAGGTTTACACACAATATCCAAGTATCTTGGGAAACCTACCAAACACTAAATAAAATGGCAAGCTATACCCAGGGTACTTTCCTAGGCCTGTGACACAAGCTTGCTCAGCTATAGTAAGTATGATCTGATAAGACTAGCATTCTTCAAAAGTTTAACTAGTTAAAGACAGGTAAGGAAGTATGTAAATGTATTATTCCATAATAACCAAAAAATATATTTTCATACAAATTCAAAGGAACTATTCAAAATTTTACCGTATTTAAGTCTTTTGTCTTTTATGCTGGGCTGTGTAAAAGTTCTAACTCTTACTGTTTCTTAGATACTCTTATGAAATCTCGAAGAATAATGCCTTGATAATAAAAAACAGTCAAACTTATACAAGTATACCTTTTTTCTTGAGACAGCGTTTCTCTGTGTATGTCTGACTGTCCTGGAACTTGCTCCATAGAGCAGGCTGGTCTCAAACTCGGAGACCTAATTGCTTCTGTTTCCCAAGCGCTGGGATTAAAGGTGTGTGCCACCATTGCCCCAAACAACAAAACATAATTTTTAAATAAACTGGATATGTAAGATACTGCATTTTATTTTCTAATAGTTGGGACTTTGGCATTATGATTTTTCTGAATATTTCTGTGACTGTGAACACTAATTCTCCGAAAATAAAACACCTGGAATTGCTTACAGAAGTTTCTGTACAGTGGGTACTAACACAGGATTTGGAATCTCAGCTCTGACACTTACTCTGGAAGCTATGCAGCCCCTACCAAGACAGTTAATCTCCCCCAGCCTCAGTTTCCTTTCCTACCAGTGGAGCAAAGCTCTGATGAGATGTCAGTGGATTATGAATAAGCAGCAGTAAACCATACCGTGTATCATGAGGACCTACCCAGGATGGAGTCCTTGTGGGGACAATAGACCACCGAGTATGATATAGGGACTAACTTGGCTTTTTTTTCATACCATTTTTACCAAACTAGTCCCTGGAAGCCAGAGCAGGGTCATTCTCAGCTTAAATAAGAACTTCAGAAGTTATAGAATGGTGACTAGGTAAGTTTCCCCAAGCATTCGAGAATAAGGAGCTTTTTTAAACAAGCAGAAATATGTTGACAGCTGACCAAAAAGTTTCCTTCAGCTTGGAGGTGGAAGGCCTGCGGAAAGAGCAGATGTAGGGACGCGCAGCATTTGTCCACAGCAGTGTGGCTTAACCTCTTCAGACAGAAAATTGGCTTGTAACAGCCGCAGCAAGGTGAAACACGGAGCACAGGAGCCACGGGATCAAGTGTGGGCAGCTGCTTCCGAAAACAGACAAGGAAAAAGGTCTTTGCTCAAAGCAGGTAGGCCTCTATGATGGGGCTGGGCACCCTGGGCAATGCATCCGTTACTGTCAGGAACACACACCACAGATGTATGCTCCTTCTCTTCCCCACCCCGAGGCCTTCTGGTCTGATGGACTAACAAGTGGAACGCAGAGCCGGTGTCTGGTGCCCCATAGTTTTCAGGGCCCATGCATAAAGCGGCAGTGTTTTATTTGCCGCTCTCTTAAGCAGAGTTAACAAAGGAAAGAAACCAGGCCAATATATTAACACAGTTCTACACAGAGCAGCTTCCTGGCTGAGAACCAACTCGTCTTCCATTCTTCCTGCCCCCTGTCTACACTTGAGCCTCAGAACAGATCTAGAAAAGAAGTAAATATGCTCTCTACTGGTCAAAGATGTTGATTTTTGTTTCACTGTGGACCTGAGCGCTAGGAAATTCGGCATTCCATACACAGATACTAAATAAAATTAGCCGAGAGTTACCAAATGCAAAGACACACAAGCCGAGGATGGTGTCTCTTCCCGCCATTATTCCGCTTAGGATCCGGTGGAGAGCGTCAGCGTCATTTATCCAGACTGATGCAAATAAGGAATAGCACTCAGGTGTCTGAGGGATGCAACGGTTAAATAAGGGAAAGGACTTGCTGAAAAGAAAAGGCAGAGTCAATGGTTAAATGATTAACTGTTTCCCTTTAAAGGTGTTTAAATTCAAAATTCCAACATCCCCAAACCACAATCTCAGTATTTATGAAAAGGAGAGAGCCAGTGAAATGGCTCAGCATTTGAAGGCACTTGCCTCTAACGCCTGACGACCCAAGTTCAGTCATGATGTTGTTCCCTGACTTCCCTGTATGCGTTATAGCATTTGCCCCTGCCCCACTTAGACATGCTCAAGTACACACACACACACACACACACACACACACACACACACACACAATTTAAATAGCAAAAAGCTTGGCAACCTGTTTGCAAAACACCTCTTAGAAAGACAAGCAATCCTGCCTTGCTACAGCGTTTAGCTGATGCTCACAATGAGAAACTGAATAAGGAAACCCATAGACGCTCATACACTAAACTCGGTGAAACCATTCTTTCTTTTGCTTTTTTAAAGACTGAATGACACCCCACAGAATATCTATACATCACTTTTTTTTTTTTTAAGTAGGAATGTTTTGAATTCTCAGGTTTTGGTCATTACTCCATCAACTCCAGCACAAGAATAAAATCTCTCTCTCTCCTCTCTCTGTTGTATGTACGTGACTGTGTTCATGCTTACATGTGTTTGTGTGTGTGCTTCTGTGTGCATGTGCGTGAAGGTCAGAGGTCAATCTTAGTTGTCTCCCTCTCTTACTCCACCTTTTGAGGGAGGGTCTCTTCACTGAACATGGAGCTCACGAAGTTGTCTTGACTGGCCTGGCCCGTGATTGATGGATCTACATCTCTCAGCTCAGGGTCATATGGGCACATCCCGGTAGCCAGCCTAAATGTGGATGCTGGGGATTTGAATTCAGGTCCTCATGCTGGAGCAGCAAGTATGTTACTCCCTGAACTCCCTCCCCATACCAAGAATCATATTTCTTTAAGGAATAGTTAGGACCATGAACTGGGCCAATCAGAAGCGATATTAATGACAGCAACGACTCTTCAGTCCTCTTCAGAAAGTGAAGCAAAGCGTTTGTAACTGAGACCTTCGGTCTGTGTGAAAGCTGGCCTTTTCTGGGCTCCTCTGTAAAATGTAAACTCACCCAGGAATACCCATTCTAAAGAATCTTTACGAACCATGGGTGCCTTCATGGTATCCCCCACTTCCCCAAACAGTGGGGACAAACCCCCCAGGCTAAGAAGGGTTGGATTGTCTGACAGATTGCTAAAAACCAGACAGCTGCCATTTTGTGAAATGGAATCAGGGAGAAGTAAGAAGATGGCTTGTAAAAACGCCTACTGAAATCCAATGTGGAAAATTACATTTACATTGACGTTTTGAAGGGGTAAAACATTCACATGATTAATTCCAGAGGGGCCAATGGACTAAATCTTCCTGTGTTTAGCCACTGAGCACATTTCTTCACAGGCAACCACTGTTTTCAGTTTCGCGCCTGTCATTTTAGAGAAAGTTGAAAGCCTATGTAAATGTGATAGGAAACTGACCTCAAGATAACAAAAAATATACTCAAAAATATGTAGAGCTTGTCAAAACAAAGCAAAGGGGAAAATGAGTTAGCTTTTTTTTCTTAATGCCAACATCCACCTTAAAGGCATAAAAGGGTTGGGTGTTGATGAGAAGGGCATACTCAAAGATAAGCGTTTAACTTAAGAATAATTTTAGAGTTTCAGAAAATCCTTAAAGTTGGAATAGAGACCTGTGTGCCCTTTGCTCTTGCTCCCTAAAAGGTAACGTTTTATGTTACCACAGCACACTGTGAAGGGTCAGCCTTAGCCTCGCAATAAGGAAACTACAGCTTTTATTTGGACTCCGTCACATTCCACCAGTGTCCTTCCTCTCTTCCAGGATGTAACTCAGGACATCATGTCATGCTCCTCCCTGTTCTGTGACAATTTCTTATTTCCCCTAACTTTGCCATCTCTGGAGATTCTCAACAGCTGATTGGCAAACTCTCCCTCCGCTTGTAGAATTTCTTTCCCACTCTCTCATAATCATACTTCAGTTTCAGGTTTGGGGGAAGGCATCACGGTGAGATGACACGTCCCTTTCATAGAATCCCATCAGGGAACTTAACTGGCAAGGCGGTATCACTGTAGGATGGGACAGTTATGGAAAGATATGTAAATTAGTATAGATTTGTAATCACACCACAGCCCCCCCCCTTTAAAACAAAAGGCACTACAGTAAAAACAAAAGGCACTACAGTACATACTGATCTATTGTTTGCTATTAATAGTGTAACTTATAGACCGGTACATGTCAGAAGACTAGGGATTTCTTATTTTTTTAAAAGAATTACTTTGTTTTTAATCATATGTGTGTGCACAGGTGAATACAGGTGTCTGGGGAGGCCAGCCCTTGGATTTCCTGGAACTGGGTTGTGGTTGGCTGCAAACCACTGAACTCAGGTCCTCTGCAAAAGCAATATGCACTTTTAACCTCTGAACCATCTCTCCAGCCACCTGGGATTTTCTGTTTTTTTCGTTTTGTTTTTGTTTTTTTCTGTTGTAAAATTTGCCTGTTACCATGTAACAGTCAGATCTTAAACATGGAACCAGAGTTTTGGCAAAGACGTATGTTCATATAATGACTACCCCTTTCAAGGCATGAATGACAGGACCATCCCGACCTCCCTAGTAACCCGCCACCTTCCAGGTGCTGGGATTACAGTCGTGAACCACTGGGGCCTGATTAAGACATGGACTATTTTTATAGCTGCAGTATGTCCCCTCATTCCCCTATAGATCTGATTGTTCATTTGGGTTTTGTTACTTGGTTGCTTGTTTTGAAAGAGAGAGAGAGAGAGGCTGGTGTCAAGCTCATTATGTGGCCCAGGAGGCTCTCGAGCTCCTGATTCTTTGACTGGCTTACAGTCTCGTACCTGGGTGCCTGGTTTACATTGTGCTGAGGATCTGAACTCAGAGCTTCATCTGTGCTAAGCAAATACTCTACCGACTGAGCTGCAGCCCTCGCTCAACAGACCTGATTTCTACTAGTTCAGCTCTGACTTTGATTCTGTCCAGTTTCTTGCATTTGGATGTTGCAGAGGCCAACATGCTTCCGATGCCTGAGTCCCACGCCCTTGGCGAATATACAACTTCATCTCCTGTCTTTCTGCCGACTGCCATTTCAGTTGTTTTCCAATGTCAAGCATAAAGATGCCATAAACACTCTCATCTATATCTTATCATTTTTGGATGTGGAATTTTCATCCTCTAAGGTAAAGACCTAAAAGTGGGGTGATGGGGTCATGTGGTAAGTGTGTGCTTAGCCAAATAAGAAGTCATCGTATTCTTTTGTTTCCAGACTAATCTCATCACTCACATTCTTCTGGACACATAGTTACGGACACTCGGGTCCCATGTCCTGTCTGGTACTTACTCTTACTACTTTCTAAATAATTAACTCTTCCAGGACGCGTGAAGAACCCGTCACAGTTCATGTCAGCTCACACCTTTTGCCTGGTTCTACCAAGCTTTTTGTCCTTTGCTTACGTCTTAAAAGTAGGAATCAGCCAAATGTGGCTCCCCACCTTTTTTTTTTTAAATAACTAATAACTAAAGTTTTATTGAAACATATCTCAGTCCACTTGTTCATGCATTTTAAAAAAAGATCTATTTATTTATTTATTTATTTTACAGTATTCTGCCTGCAGGCCAGAAGAAGGCACCAGATCTCATTACAGAAGGTTGTGAGCCACCATGTGGTTGCTGGGAGTTGAACTCAGGACCTTTGGAAGAGCAGCCAGTGCTGTTAACTTCTGAGCCATCTCTCCAGCCCTTCTTCATGCATTTTAAAAATATTTATTTAAAAAATTTAGAGAGAGAGAGAGTGTGTGTATGTGTGTGTAGAGGTTAGGGGACAACTGCAGGTTTTGATCCTTGTTCTCAACATGGTCTCTTGGTTATATTCTCCAAGCTAGCTGGTCACAGCTCCTGGGAATTCTCCCGTCTCTGCCTCCCATCGCCCCATGGAAGCACTAGGATTACAGATAGGTGCTCTTCACTGCACACACGTTCTTAGGATTCAAGATCATCTTCTTGTTTATTCAGCAAGCACTTTATCCACTGAGCCATCTCCCCAGCCCTGTTCATGCATTTTCTATGGTGGTGTCTGCACTGGCCCAACAGATTGAACAGACATAAACAACTCAAGGGTGGAAGAATTTATTTTGACTCATAATCTTAGAGGTTTCAGTCTATGTTTGCTTGGCCCTGTGTATTTGAGAATATCATAGTATTTGTGGTGGATGGGATTCTTCACCTCATAGGGGTCAGGAAGCAGCAGGGAGAAAGGCTAGCGGGAGGCAGGAAGGGGCCAGAGACAAGAGACCCCACAAGATTCCACTGTTAGCAACCCACTTTCTCTAGCAAGGTTCCACCTCTTGAACTTTCCATGGTCACCTGAGACCAAGTGCTTGCCGCATTAACCAAGGAAGACATGTAGTAATATGATTCCATAAGCGATAACAACTACATTTTTATCTTTTTACAATAAACATCAATTTCTGTAAGAGTCCTCGGGGTGTGCTGAACATATAAAACAATTTGAAGAGAGATGACATTCTATCAATATTAAGTTAATGGTGTAAGCAGGTGTGTTTATCCAGGTGCGCAGGCTCTTTCATTTCTCTCAGCAAGATCTTAAAATTTTAAGCAGAGGTCATGGGTTTGTCTGCTAAGTTTATTTTAAGTTTCCTTCTTTTTAAAAATCCTGGTAAAGATAGACTTTGAAAACTGTTTGACTATTTGCTAATAGAATCCAAAAAGACATTTTTTTTTTTTTCCTTTTGAGACAAAGTTTGTAGTCTCAACTGTTCTGGAACTCACTCTGTAGACCAGGCTGGCCTCAAACACACAGACATCTGCCTGTCTCTGCCTCCCAAGTGCTGGGATTAAAGGTGTGCCCCACCATGCCCAGCTCAGAAAGAAAATTGACCCATGTTTTGCTTCTTTGCTCAATTTGCTTAATATTTTA